CACACCGACACACCCACACCGACACACCCACACCGACACACCCACACCGACACACCCACACCGACACACCCACACCCACACACCCACACCCACACCCACACCCACACCCACACCCACACCCACACCCACACCTACACCTACACCCTCTAGTTCTTTTTTTTTATTTTTTGAGTATCAGAATAGGCTGAGTTCTGTCCGTTGAGTTCAGGCTCACGTTATATGAAGGACTTCCGGGTAGTCCCTAAAAGCCCGGCCAGGAACTGCTTTAGTGTCTCTGGCACACGATCGGGCCCCCAGACTCACTGACACATGACATCGGATGGGTGCATGTGAATGACGTGGGTCTTTCCGCCCGTGCATGAGCTTTACGCTCGCCACGTCTCCACCAGGGTAGTTCCTGGTCGCACGCGTGCGAATAGAATAAGCATTGCTTTCATCAATTCAACGTGAATTTATTAGAAACGAAAGAAAATAATCCATCGTATTGAGTTCATTCAATAGAAAATCGTTGAACACGATCATTTCCCCAATCGACGACGTAGAGATTGCCTTGTAGATCGAAGGACAAACCACGAGGATAGTTGAACTGATTTGCTTCTGCTCCTTCACCATTTCCACCCACAATGACAGTGCCTTGCTTCGCTCCTTTAGGCCAGCGCATCACTCGATGATTCCACGAGTCTGCCACATAGATGGTACCCAACGTATCGACGAACAGTCCTTTAGGATACGACAATTGTGTCAGAGCATTCCCTTGGCCTTGACCTCCAGCGACGACAATTCCTTCTTTTGCATCTTTATTCCATTTCATCACACGATGATTCTTGTTGTCTGACACGTAGACAGTCTGTTGTTGATCGACAAAGAGGTATCTCGGCTCGTTGAGTTGATTAAGACCAGCACCTGCGCCATTCTCACCAGCCACAAGAGTTCCATTCTTGTCTCCTATTTGATATCGTCTTACTTCATGTTTGCCGGTGTCAGAGATGTAGAGATATCTCTGATTATCCATGGCCAATCCCCAAGGATTGATATTGTCGATGAGGATATCTCCTTGAGTTATGCCACTAAGATGAGACCATCGTACGACTCGTTCAGTATTGCAAATAATAAGACTATTAGTCTCTTTGTCAATCAGCACATCAGTTGGCTCATTCAATTGATCCAATCGTTTTCCTTGGCCATTGCCACCAGCTACCACTTGTCCATTCGTAATATCCATCTTCCATTGGATGATACGATGATTCCCGTAGTCAGCGATGACAATCGTTTGATCATCATCAACGAAGAGCCCATGAGGCCAGAAGAGTTGATTAGTGGCACTGCCCCATCCTTGACCGCCAGTAACGGTCACACCATTCTGTGCCCACCGGGCATCCGCTGGAATATTGGGGATAACTACAATGAACGAGAAAAAGAATCATTTTCGTCGTTATCTAGGAATAAAAAATTCTTCTTCGAAGGAACTTGATAAAACTTTCGAGAATGTCTTTCTCTAACATACTTTAAACAAGCGAAAGGTTCTCCTAGTTTCATATGCAACAAAAAAAGAACTTGGTAACGATTCTTATGAGAATCCTTTGAGATTTCTGGAAAGAGGTTTTTTTGTCGAGAAGAAGCATCTCTGAAATACTGAGAAGATTCTATCTCGAACGTATAGGAGATTGTTGTAGGAGTCAGCATACTTAACAATGTTGAGCAGTCTAATGCTAATAGTATGTTACCTATCGATTGGAAAACATAGAGATTTTAGTCATAGTTCCAGCATTTTAATAAGGATTTTATAAGAAGAAGGCCAAAAATAAGGATTTGAAAATTGCGGAAAAAAGATTTTTGTTTTTGTTTTTGAAACATGCGTAGTTCAATTCTCAACAAATTCAAACTGTAATATAGCATTTTTTTTGAACAAGACGATCAACATTTTACATTTAGGAGTATTAAAAAACCAACAGCCTCCGGGGGATATTTCGATATTCACAGGGTCTCTTCACTACATTGTAGTGTTGGGAGGGGCCCTTGAGCTACCGGTAACCATATCATCTTGTTTCTAGGCCAGCCACCTACCACCAGGACTCTAAAACTTACTGGCTACAGAAAAGTATCAGAAAAAGTGCATAAGCGCACTCAAAACAACTTTTCTTGGTGGATCGAACGTACGTTCGTGCTTTCAACAAACGAAAAGAGAGATAATTATTAAACAGTTTCAGAAACATCAATGTACGACTCTGGTGTTATTACAAGCAACAGTTCTTCAATAATTTACTCTGGCACCCCGAGCTACAACAAAACAAGGTCTGCTTATGGCGTGACGATATATCTAGATAATGAGGAATCGAAGATGTGGAAGGAATCTAGCTCGGTATGGGAGACGGTAAGTGAAAGAATAGTTATCATTCGTTTAGGGGGTCAGTAAACAACAACATCATACAACTAGCAATGTGATCAGATCTCATGCTGCACATAAAATAAATGAGCATGGTAAACGACTGATAGATTTCTGTTCGTACAATAGCCTGATCGTGGCCAGTAATACGTTCTACCAGCATAATACCTATACACCAACTATCTTGGAGACATTCGGGAAACAAAAAATGGCATATGTTAGATTATACACTTGTTAATAAAAGCTTTCGTTCAAGTGTGGAGGATGTCCGGGTACACAGAACTGCTGCCGGAGCCATTGGTACTGATCATCATCTTATAAGAACAAAATTGAAACTTCATCTGAGAAGTCGAAAGAAGTCTAATAAATCAAAACATCACCAAATGGATAGTAATAAAATAAAAGATGGTACTTTGAGGAAGAAATTTCAAGAAGGAATATCAAACAAAAAGGTGGAAAATATTAATCTAAAGAAAACGATTAATGAAAAATATGCTGAATTTACTGATTAAATCTCGACTCTGACAATGGAAGTGTGTGTACTGATGAGCTCAGAGATTGACCATGTCGGGCCAAATGATCACTCTCACCGAGAAACTAACAAATTTAAAATATGAGCGGCCATTGGCGTGCCTAGAGCAAGTTATTTAAATTTCAAGGTATGTGAAATTTAGGTATAAAAATGAATCAGAAAAGGTTTTCTCCACTATTGTAAGGAGAGAACATAGTGTTGTTCGGTCCGATTATGAGGTTTGTAGGGACTCTCTTTCATATGGCCCGAACAACACCATGTTTTATCCTTATAATAGTAGAGTGAGTTTTTTTGGTGGGTGATAGAAAACACCGTTTTCTATGAGCTACAGAAAAAATTCACTCAACTATTATAAGGACGGAACATAGGGTTATTGGAGCCATATGAAAGAGCATCCTTGATAACCCCCAGATTGATCCGAACAACACCATGTTTTGTTCTTATAATAGTAGAGTGAATCTTTTTGGTGGATGATAGACAACACCGTTTTCTATGAGCTACAGAAAAAATTCACTCAACTATTATAAGGATAAAACATGGTGTTGTTCGGGCCATATGAAAGAGACTCCCTACAAACCTCATAATCGGACCGAACAACACCATGCTCTCTCCTTACAATAGTGGAGAAAACCTTTTCTGATTCATTTTTATACCTAAATTTCACATACCTTGAAATTTAAATAACTTGCTCTTGGCACGCCAATGGCGGCTCATATTTTAAATTTGTTAGTTTCTCGGTGAGAGTGATCATTTGACCCAACATGGTCAATCTCTGAGCTCATCAGTAGACACACTTCCATAGTGAGTGGTAAGATATTCAGTCAAGAAAAAATGGTGCAAGAAAGTCGAATCATCATAGTACTAAGTTAAAACGAAAATATCGAGATAAATATCGTCGACTAAGAAAGTTGGTAAACCAGAACGTAAAGGCTCGACGAATGGAATACTGGGATGAAATAAGTGAGGATATTGAAAAATCAATCAAGGAACATGATCCAAGTGCAGCTTACCAGGCCCTACGACGACTCAAAGGTGAAACA